TTATCGTGTGATTGACCCAAATTTATTGAGACTGATTGGCTTAACTTTCCACTTGTTCTGCGCAGACCGCGACAATATTTATGATATGATTTATTATAATCTTTCGATAATTCAAAGAAATTCAACCATCCAAATCATTATTATTATTCAAACAAAAAAAAAAATATCCAATAGCATACAAAACTTATGGTTTCATTAATTTATATTCATTTTTACCGAAGCGTAGCGTAGAACATTATACTTTTATCCGGACTCTCATATATGATGTGCATCATATCATATCATATTCACGTATTTGTTCATATTAAAATTGATTTCGAAACGATGAATCTCGATGATTCAAGATTATCATCAGAAATTCTTTTTGAAAATTATGAGGATGAGGATGAATCTTGATCATATATTATTATTAATAATGATGATAGGTTAGGTATATGAATCGAAACAAGTATAGGGAAAAAATTATAATTATTCATATCAAAAGAAACTACTACCGCTGCCACCACCACCGCCACAAAGACATAAAGAATATAATCGTATTTCCATTCGGATTTTAATTATATTTCTCGATTAAACCAAACATCACAATAATCTTTACAAAATATTATCACATTAGATGGATTAGAAGAATTAGTTTATGATCTTGATATTAAATTATCTCTATAATTTCATTTTCAAATCATGATTTAAATTAGAAATCTTGCTTTAGTATTGGTGCTGTTATATAGGTAATGATTATTTATTATTTTTATTTTATTTTTATTTTTAATTGATGTATTTATTGTTGTATTATACTTATTATTTTATTTTTTAGTTTTATTTAGTTTTTTTATTTTTTAATTTTTATTTATTTTAATTTTTATTTATTTTTAATTATATTTAATCCAATGGCTCAAATTTATGCGCTAAGAATGAATCCCATTCCTCATCTTTTAAATTTTCTTAACCAGAGATCAAAGTTTTAATTGCATATTGTTTTAATTATAAAGATATTTTAAAAAAATTTAGTTTAATGTTGATCCGACACCTAAAGATTTTCTAAAGTCGGAAAATTTAATTTTTTTTTTTCTTCTTTCGCGAAAAAAAATCGATTATATAATTCGTAGCATTTATTGATTTATTAATATTATTTATTAAATTGTAATTTTCTAACGATGAGAATTCGAAGAGATTGAAAAAATTCAATTTAAATAAAAAAATCATGGAGTCCAAAACTTATTACAGTTGAACCTGTATAAAAGCATACTGCATATAAGCATAACCTGCCTAAATGCATAAATTTTTGTGGCCGGAAATCATATTTATAATTTTTAAAAATAGTGATTTATATAATAAATAAAGTTTGCCTTAAAATACAAATAAACATTTATATAAAAAATTTGAATAATGAGATAAAATTAACGAATTGTACAGTTTGGAATTTTTTTTTTTAATAATCTTAAATACTTCGTAATCTATGATAGAAAAATATTCATTAGTTGTTCTAATAGGTTTTTCATAATAAGTATTGAAATTTCTACTCCAACAATATCTTTTATCTCGAGTGAAATCGGAAACGTTTGATCCCATCATAAACTCACCATTGCCAAAATATGGACCATAAGTATTCTGATCATTAGAATTATGATAGAGTAAAGCCTCACTATTTTCTACAACTCGACTGAGAATTGAATTTTGAATATTCCCATTTTTCAATGAAAAAATGAAACAATCCTTTGTTCCATAAAAACATTACTTGCTGTTGAGTTATCCCAAGCTAAAGGATTATAACCACCAACTATTTCGTCAGTTCCTGCAACTCTTGCAACTACAATTGTACTGGCATGTCCGCTAAACATATCCCAAAATATTTTAGGACGAAAACCATCTCGACTTCCTCGAAGAATTAATTGAAATTCATAAGGTATATCTGATAAAGAATAAGTATCGATTTTCGATCAATCCATGATGAAAGTTCCGCGACATGCTCTTAGTAATTGATTATTGTTGCGAATGGAAATAGGATTGAAATGATAAGCATTAAAAAATTCCAGATATAATAGACGGTTCTTGAAAGTAAATTGGAAATTGAAATGATTCTTGCTGGCAAAACAAGTGATCAAAATGGTCCATTTTGGAACATAAGAAGTTGGATTAAATCGTTCCAAAGCTGTTTTTCAAGGATTTTTTTGTAGGGCTTCACTTTCTCCCAGATATCTTCACAGAAATATGAAAATATCGAATAATCGGTAGACAGTGTTGTAGAATCATTTTTAAAGTCTCGAAATTTTCTTTAAACCATTCTTCCGAATTGGCGGGTAATGTAGGATTTTGCGTAATTCCCCATTTAATAACATAATACCAAATTTTAATTCTTCGACATTCAAGTCATAAACGCTATTTCTTGGAGTGATGCGAAATCTTCTGATTCAAAAATCAAATTTGGATGTTTTATAATAATATCATTATAAAAAATATTCAAACCTTTGAATTCATTACTGTCAAAGATTGAATGATAAACAGGGGAGGAATGAATTCTTAACCAAGAAGTTTTAAATTCAAGTAGGCAACTTTCTAATTTTACTGATAATTCTTTAAGTTCTAAATCATTAGCATTGACCATTAATTCATAAATGGTTTCGGTATCCGTATTTTTAATATCGACAATTCCACCATAGATATATCTATTAAATATATTTTATTTTATTAATAATATCGATTCATAATATAATTAATTTACTATTTAAAGTTACATTACTTACTTAAGAATAATTTCGAATGTTTGAGCAGAAATATTTGGTTTAATAAATAGTTTTGATATGATTTTTATTCGTAGGAAGGTTCTCTAATTCTTTATCAAAGTGGGGTAAACGATAACGTAAGACGACTGAGTGTGCTGTAAAAGATTTCTTATTTTCTTTATCAACTTCGATGACGACATTATATTCTTTTTTGTCATTAAGAAGTTCTGAAAAATAAAGAGAAATTTATCAAAAAATTCTAAAGACATTTTTTATTGTTTGAAAATTTTCAGACTGATTCTACAATTATCGACTAAATTCATAAGATCGTGTCAAAATAAAAATTCCACAGGCATGATGTGTTAAAATTAAGGCGGTTAATTTTCTGACGATAATTCAAATCATTATTATTATTATTTAAACAAAAAAAAAATACCCAATGGCATCCAAATTTTATGTTTTCATTTATTTATATTTATTAATTTGTATTGTCACCGCTTACACAAGTTCAGGGTCTACCATAGAAATCCATGACAACGGCTGTAATTGTTATCTTTAATTATTCGAAGAACTAAAGAAATGTTTGGTGGACAAGTAATATCTCAACATTTTCCCTCGTATTTCATATATATATATTATGATTATTTGATTGATTCTGTTGATTATTTATTTCATCACATTATACATACGAATTCACCTTTCACGCTTATTGGGTCCTCATACTAAAATTGATTTCGAAACGGGAGATGATGATGAAACATTTTTCAAAGTTAATACTAAGAATCTCTAAAAAGAATTATTACATGATACATTGAATCTTGGTAATAACAATGAGAATAAAGATAGGTATAGGATTCGAAATTAGTACAAATATAAGAATTATAATTATTCATCACCAGTTATTCAAAAGAAACTACAGCCCCATCACGCAACACATAACGAAAATAATTCGTATTTCAAATTAATTATATTTCTTGATTAATCTGATCATCATTAAAATAATCTTTAATAAAAATATTATCAGCATTAGGTGGATTAGAAGAATTAGTTCTGAACTTGATTTTAGTATTAAATTAAATTATTTAAAGGTGATGATTAAAATTCTATAATTTCACTTTTAAACCATGATAATGTTATTTTGGAGGTGATCAAATAAATATGTTTAAGAATTAGTTTTAATGTGGGTAAAAAAACCATTCTAGCATATTTTACTCGTGTGTGAAAGAAATTCTCTTCGTTATTAAATTTGATCTCCAAACAGATAAACTCCCTTAATTATTTTTATTGAATAAATTTAAATAGTCCTTAATCAAAAAAAACTCGATTCTAAAAAAATTTTCGGATGAATCAGTACATTATATTTAAATCAATAATAAGATTTTGTTTCTAAAAAAAATAAAAAGATTCGTCGATATTAAATTTTTGTAATTCTATTATTTATTTAATATTCAAAACTTTAATTCTTCCCAATTTGTATATTTTAAGATTTTTCATTCTTTTATGTCTATTATGTAAGCGATCTATTTTTAAATTTGTGTTGTGGCGTATTTTGTGTATCATTTTGGATTCAGAGTAGTTACACACATAATAATTATAAATAAAATGTTTCTTCTATTTTTTTTTTCGACGATATTAAAAAAAAAAAAAAAAGGATGACGACTAAAGTTCCCACAGAAATATTGATTAAAATTTTAGATAAAGTTCAATCATCTCGCTCAACTCAAGATTTATTTTCATCACTATTGGTTAATAGAATCTGGTGTAAAGTTACTATACCTTTACTTTGGGGATTACCTTTGGGTCAAGAATATCGTTGCACAGATGATATAAAGTTGAGGAAGACAGCATTATGTATTCGAACTTATATATCGTGCATGGATACTCAAGCTAGAAATTTACTTACTCAAAACGGATTTGATTTGTCGTCATCACCACCTCAAACCACTTTTGATTATCCATCATTCATTCATAAATTTATAATTAGTAATTTAGTTTATTATATTTCCATATATTCACCACAAATTATTGTTTCAGGTCGAGATAATTACTTTAATAATAAGATCACCATCACCAAATCGTCGAGAATATTATTTCATGAGATATGTAAATTGATAATAAATCATTGTACATTTTTAGATAATTTTGAATTGACGGATGTTCCCATAAATATTTCTGATGGTGATTTAGTTGTTTCAATTCTCAAGTTACCCGGTGCTCTGAAAACATTTAAGAAATTAGAAAGTTTTACTTCGAAGATAGGAGATAATAAACTGATTAGACCATTATATGAATCATTAACATTAATTTGTGATAATATTTTAAATATGAATTTATCTTTATATTCAAATCCTCAAATAGAATTACTAACAAAACTTATCAGTGTTCAAAAATGGTTAGAAAATCTAACAATTATTGGTGGTTCTAATCAAGATTGTAATTCATTATTATGGGCTATCATTAATCAAAAAGAAACATTAAAGAGTCTTCGTTTAATATCAGTAAATTTTATTAGTTTCAAAGAGAAATCATCACCGATTGGTCAATTTATTTCACTTCAAGAACTTTATATTGAAGATTGCCACGGATTATATAAATCGGAATGTTTATCCTGGGCTTCATCATTTCCTCAATTAAGTAGTATTCATTTTAATTTTAGATATGAATCTGATATACCTCAAAAATTTATTATAAAAATTCTCCAAACAGCTAATAAAAATTTAAGAAATATTGGTCTGAATTTATATTCCCCAATTACATTTGATATATTTTCAGCAATTTTAAATTATTGTACAAAGATTACCAAATTATCTTTACAGAATTTAAATCCGGAACATGTAATAGCAATATTTAATAATAGTTTTAATGAATTAAGAAGTTTTTCATTTGATTGTGGATGGGAAGAATTTGATGCTAATGAATTATTATGTCAAATGGCCGAAAATGTACCAGAATCACTTAAAACTATTATTATTAAAATGGGTTATCACGATCCATGGACATTTAGTGCTGATAATTTAAGAAAATTTTTTGAAGGGTGGGGTTGTAAAGGAGGAGAATTAAATAAAAAGATAATTGTAAGACGTAGAGGACTGCATTCATTTAAATTAAGTGATGAACATTTTAAAGTTATTGAAGAATATGGAGTTCAATTTAATTTAGAAGGATTATATTACAAATAATAATTCAAATAACATCTCGTTCATTTTTTTTATCTAATTTTGTGTCGTATTTTATAATTTTGGTAACCATTACATCAAGTAGTTACATTTTATTTATAAATGTGATTAAATTATTTATGAACTTTTTTTTTTGTTATGTAAGTGAGATATTTCTCACAGTTTTTATTTTTTTATTTTTATTTTTTTATTTTTATTTTTTCTTCGATATAATAAAAAGAATCGCAACTGAAGTTCCCAAAGAAATATTGATTAAAATTTTTAATAATTCGATCATCATCTCATTCAAATCGATTTATATTCATCATTATTAGGTAATCGAATCTAGTGTAAAACTTTGGAAATTACCTTTGGATTAAGAATATTGTGTAAAGCATTATATATTCAAACTTATATATCATATATGGAAACTCAAAATGGATTTGATTTATCATCTCATCGTCAACACCTCAAGCCACTTTTGATTATCCATCATTCACTCATAAATTTATAATTAGTAATTTAGTTTATTTCCGTATATACAAAACAAATTATTGGTATCAGGAAATATCACTAGCATTAATTTGTGATAATATGGATTTGGAATTGAATTCACATTCTCAAATGTGATTATTTGAAGAACTTATTAGTGCTCAAAAACGTTTCAAAATCTATCAATTGATTCCATTATTATCAGACTAGATCATAATTCAAAATTATGGCTATTATTGGTCAAAAAACTAGAGTCTTCGTTTAAAATTCATAAAATTTAATCATCTCGGAAGGAAATCATCACAAATTGGGCAATTTATTTCACTTCAAGAACTTTATATTGAACATTGTTATGGATGGGATAATTTATTCCTTGCTTCATCCTTACTCAATCAAGTAGTTTTCCATAGTTTTCATTTTATGCCATCAATACAGTATATTCAAGAATTTATTATAAAAATTCTCGAAGCGGCCAAGAAATATTTGTTTAGAGTTAAATTCCACAATTACATCTGATATATTTTTAACAATTTTAAATTATTGTACGAATGTTACCAAATTAACTATATCAAATTTAATTCCTGAACAAGTAATGGAAGACAATATTTAATCATAATTTTAATTAAATAAGAAGAATTTCATTTGTTTGTTGGATTTTCTAATGAATTTAATGAATTATCATATCAAATGGCTGAAAATGTAACCTGAATCTTGAAACTATTAAATTAGAATGGAGATATTTTAGTGCCAATAGTTTAAAAAAATTTTTGAAGGGTGGTGTTGTAAAGGGGGAGAAATAAGATCATTGTAAAACGTATAAAACAAGCGCGAATATTTACGTTAAGTGATTAAACTTTTAAAATTATTGAAGAATATGGAGTGGAATTCAAAATTGATTTAGAAGAAATCAGAATATAAATTTAGTTATAATTTTGTTACATTGAATTTAAGAATATTAAAAATATTATATAAAAATATTTTTAATAATCTTGTTAATAATCTTGTTAACGAAAAAAAAAAATTAATAATAAACTTTAAATTTTTATGTCACATTGATTTTAATCGTTAAAATTTATTGTTTAAAGTTAATTAAGAATAGTAAATTTATAGTTTAGTCAATTTACTTTAAAAAATAATTAATCGCTTGATATTTAGTGCATCATCATAAAGATCTAAATCTTTTAAACACTTATTCCAAAATCGATAAATACACAAGTGCATAGAATATTGATGAATTGTTTGCTAGAAAAAATGTAAGATCACATAACTCAACTCTTATTATTTAATAAATTTAATATACGAATTAATTATTAACATTAATTCTTAATTCTTGTTATTTATGGAGTAAATATAGTAAACATAAAAAAAAAACAAAATTTCTTTTATGGGGTTTCCATACTACATTCTTCGATGAATGACTTATAAAATAAAATACAATTAATTAATTAAATTTATTAATATGAAAATAAAATTTATATTTGAAAATTAAATATATCATAAAAAAGCTTATTTAGACAATCTTTAGTAATTAATTCATTTGTATTTTTATCATCATTTTCATTTGGATTCTTAGGTTTTGAAAGATTTTTGAAATTAAAACATCTCTGATGTAGATTTTCGATGGATGCATTTCATATGATGTCAAAAAATATTAGTATTGTTGTTATCCACTGGATTTGTTAAGTTTAATCTGTTACATTCTACAATTTGTTTATACAGTTCTGATTCTTTAACTTCATCTTCTATATTATTCTTATAGTTATTAAAATCAATAAGCTATTCTCCAGCAGTTGGTCTTTTATTCTGATTTTTCATCCCAACATCTTTTCATTGTCTACTAGTAATTGAGGTATTAAAATATGAGATGGAATTTCAAGTTTATACCCATCACAAATCTTAATGCAAAATTGTTAATATGGATAACATTATATCATCTCATAATCATCAATACGATCAAGTAAAGTAAATTATAATAATTCACATCAAGATTCTATTACATCCGAAAAAAAATAATTCTCTCGTTATTGTTGATCAAATACTTCATCAGCTTCCGTTCTTTATTCTTTTTAACCATATATGGGTTTGTAAAATCGGTGATAAATAATGAACATAAAATTCAATGCCCTCAAATTTTTAATATAAAATTGCTAATCGAGATATTCCATCACGATCTTCATCACATCGCTACCCTTGATAAGGCATATAAAGACCTGATAAAACTTTGATATCATATATCATTTCCTTCTTCGGATGAGAGTGAATTTAAAAGACTAGGAATGAGATTCATTCTTAATGCATAATTTTAGCCAATAGGTTATTCCATAAATAAATATGATTAATAAAAAAATAAATAAAAATAAAAAATAAAATAAAATAAAAATAAAACAAAAAAAAATAAACTATTAAATTTAATTCAATAAGAAATATGAATTATAATAATAATAAATAATAAATAATCTTCACCTGCATCGCTGTACCAATAACTAAAGCAGCTTTCTTTTTGATTTCATTTGAATCATGATTTAAAAGTGAAATTATAGGCATCAATCCATCGCCTTTAGATAATTTAACACTAAAATCAAGTTCATGGACTAATTCGTCTAACCCATCTTATACAGATAATATATTTGCAAAAGATCTTGTTTTTGTCGTGATGATGATGATTGAAAATAATTGAGAAATATAATAATTACCGAAGAGTAAATAATCCGAATGTGAAATACGATTATTTTCTTATGTCGTTGTGATGTAGTGGTTGGGGTTGTGGTTTCTTTTAAATAATTGGTTTGGTAAAGAATAGTTATAATTCTTATACTTATACTCATTTCTATTCCTATACCTCTCCCTATTCTCAATATTGTTATTATCAAGATCCAATATAACATGTAATGAATCTTTTAATGAATCTTTAATGATTCTTGTAATGATACTTGTAATGATTCTTGTTGATGCATAGCATTAACTTTGGAAAATATAAAATCATCTTCGTCATTTTCAAAAAAATAGCTTACAATAATAATCTTGAATCACCCGGATTTAAAAGTTTTGCATATTTTTTTCCTTGTTTCGAAATTAATTTTACCTAATACGTGAATACGTGAATATGATATAATATTATATAATATGATTTAATAAATTGTCAAACATAATAAATAAACAATCGTAATATATATATGAAATATATGATATACGAGAGAAAATGTTGTTGTATTTACTGTCCTTCAAATATTTCTTTAAGCTCTTCAGTTGCTTCGAATAAAGAAAAATTTACAATGATATCCGAAACTTAATATATTTATTAATTTGTATTGTTCAACTGTGCTAATCTGTTATCCTAAATTATTATTTTTTTGTTAACATAATAATAATGGTTTAAATTATTTTTTGGATTAAATTAATGAATCGTCGGTCTCGTCACCTTGGTGCCTACTGTAACACAATCATTAGAGTCATATGGATTTGAGATTAGTTTTTTGGCAAGATTTTCTTTCACGATCGACATTATTGGGTTGAACAAAATCGTAAACTGAAATTGAACAAGAACTTGTATAACGGAGGTTTAAACGCCTATTTTGTTCAGTTTGAAGTTTTAAAATAATAAAAGAATGTCTTTTAAGTTTTTTGATAAATTATCACTTGATTTTTCAGAGCTTCTTAAGGACAAAAAAGAATATAATGTTGCCATCGAAGAAAACATGAAATCTTTTACCGCACATACAGTTGTCTTACGTTATCGTTCACCCTACTTTGATAAAGAATTAGAGAACGCTCCTACGAATAAAAATCATATTAAAACTATTATTAAAACCAAATATTTCAGCTCAAGTATTCGAAATTATTCTTAAGTAAAGAATTTATCTTTTATTTTAAATAAAAATTAATTATATTGTGACTCAAAATTAATAAAATAATATACATTTTATAGATATATCTATGGTGGAATTATCGATATTGAAAATATGAATACCAAAACTATTTATGAATTAATGGTCAATGCTAATGAATTAGAACTTAAAGAACTATCAGAAAAATTAGAAAGTTATCTTATTGAATCTAAAGCTTCTTGGTTAAGAACTCATTTTTCCCTTATTTATCATTCAATCTATGATAGTGACGAATTTAAAGATCTGAAAAAATTTTATAATGATATTATTGCAAAACACCCAAATTTGATTTTTGAATTTGGAGATTTCACTTCACTTCAAGAAGCGGCATTGATTTCTATTTTGCAAAGAGATGACTTGAATGTCGAAGAAATAAAAATTTGGGATTATGTTATCAAATGGGGAATTGCACAAAATCCTACATTACCCACCAATTCGAAAGAATGGTCTAAAGAAAATTTCGAGACTTTGAAAATTATTCTACAACGCTGTTTACCACTTATTCGATATTTTCATATTCCTGGTGAAGATATTTGGGAGAAAGTAAAGCCCTACAAAAAAATCCTTGAAAAACAACTTTGGGATGACTTAACTCAATATTTCATGAACCCAAATAAACCTGTTAAATCACTTATTTTACCGGCGAGAACTTTTTCAAATCCCGAATTACCTTCAAGAAAGAATGAACCATTCTCAACCATAATCAACAACAACGAGCACGTCGCAGAACTTTCATCATGGATTGATCGAAAATTGACTACTTATTCTTTATCAAATATACCTTATGAATTTCAATTAATTCTTAGAGGAAGTCGAGATAGTTTTCGTCCCGAAACATTTTGGGAGATGTGTAGAGGACATGCTGGTACAATTGTTCTTGCAAAAGTTTCTGGAACTGATGAAATAGTTGGTGGTTATAATCCTTTAGCTTGGGATAACCCAATAAAAGATACATTTATGGAAACGAATGATAGTTTCATTTTTTCATTGAAAAATGGGAATATTCAAAATTCAATTCTCAGTCGAGTTAAAAATAGTAGTGCAGCTTTATATTATTATGGTCCTGATTCTGATCTGGATATTTTTGGTCCAGATTTTGGTGATTATGAATTTTTATTGAAATCAGAAGTCTCCGATTTTACTCAAGATGAACAATGTTGTTGTAATTATGATTTTAAGTTTGGTGATGCTAGTTTTTATGAAAAACCTATTAGAACAACTAATGAAAAATTCTCTATTATAGATTATGAAGTATTTAAGATTATTAAAAAATGTGAAAAATTCCAAACTGTGAAATGAAATAATATTGTATCACTGTTAAATTTTTCTTATACAGAATATTTTATTTATTATTTTCTATTTTTCTATTTTAATAAATAAATTTACGTACGTTATAAGTTTTGATGATGATTTGTTATTCATACATTATTGATGTAAGCTGCACTGCGATATCTTCCGATGATAAATCCAGGAGTTACCGTTATGTAATCTGTACCTAACTAAAATTTATATAAATGCCATATAATAGGTAGTACGAATATGATTCTCGCTGGAAGATAAAAAAAAGCAATTAAATTTAATTGTTTCAGTTAGAGTCACCCATGATTTATTTATTGATATTTTCTGGTTAATTTGTACTAAAAAAATAATCATGTGTGATATAAACGAGTTATTTCTTTTAATAAAGATGATTTCTTAATACAGAATATATAAGACGCGGTATAAAATCTTTTAAACGATCTTTGTCCAATTATATCTGAAATTCTATGATGTATAAAAAAATTTACGGATTTTTGATTTGATGAAACAATTTGCTAATTAGACATTGTATCGTTTTGAAGGTTTAAATTAATAAAATGAGCTTTAAATTTTTTGATAAATTTTCACAAGTTTTTTCAGAGCTTCTTAATGACAAAAAGAATATAATGTTGTCATCGAAGTTGATAAAGAAGAAAATAAGAAATCTTTTACCGCTCACTCGGCAGTCTTACGTTATCGTTCATCCTACATTGATAAAGAATTAGAGAATGCTACTACGAACGAAAATCATTATTAAACAAATAATTTTGCTCAAATTTTCGATATTATTTTTAAGTAAGTAAAGAATTTATTTATTATATTGTGACTCAATATTAATAAGATAAAATACATTTTTTAGATATTTCAACGGTGGAATTATCGATATTGAAAATTCGGATACAAAAACCATTTGTGAATTAATGATGAATTAGAACTTAAAGAACTATCAGTAAAATTAGAAAGTTATCTTATCGAATCTAAAGCTTCATGGTTAAGAGCTCATTTTTTCTTATTTATCATTCAATCTTTGTTGGTGACGAATTTAAAGGTTTGAAAAAATTTATAATGATATTATTGCAAAACATCCAAATTTGATTTTTGAATCTGGAGATTTCACTTCACTCCAAGAAAAGGCATTGATTTTATTTTGCAAAGAGATGACTTGAATGTCAACAAAATTAAAATTTGGGATTATGTTATTAAATGGAGAATTACACAAAATCCTACATTACCCACCAATTCGGAAGAATGGTCCAAAGAAAATTTCGAAGCTATGAAAATTACTCTAAAACGCTGTTTACCGTTTATTCGATATTTCCATATTCCAGGTAAACATACTTAGGAGAAAATAAGACTCTATAAAACAATCCTTGAAGAACAACTTTGGGATGTCTTAACTCAATATTTTATGTTTCCAAGTAAACCAATTAAATCACTTATTTTGCCTGCAAGATGCTTTTCGACTCCTGAATTACTTCCAAGAGTGAATGAGCCATTCTCAAATATAATCAACAACGGAGAGCATGTCATGAAACTTTCACCATGGATTGATCGAAAATCAACTACTTATTCTTTACCGAGTATATCTTATGAATTTCAATTAATTATTTGAGGAAGTCAATTTAATTTTCATCCTAAAACATTTTGGGAGATGTATCATGGACATGCTGGCACAATTGTTGTTGCAAAAGTTTCTGGAACTGATGAAATAGTTGGTGGTTATAATCCTTTAGCTTAGGATAATTCTATAGGAAATGTTTTTATGGAAACAAATGAGTTTCATTTTTCATTAAAAAGTGAGAATATTCAAAGTTCCGAATTGCACATTATTATTTAGTAATAATAAAAAGATTTCAAATATTTTCGTAATACTTTGACTTTAAACTGTAATAACTTGATGATTATTGATGCTATAAAGATAAAACGTATATCATTTTGTAATAAAGAGCAAGTTCTTTCTATTTATCATAGAAACACTTAGTAAAAAATTGCTCTAAGTTTGTAAATCATATGTGAAGTCATTATAATTTAATTTTATATACAAATGTTTTTATAAATAATGGAATGAGCATATCTTATCTCATTCTGTATTGAATAAGCTGTGAGCTTATTTCATTACATGTTGAATAAGATGTGAGCTTATTTCATTACATGTTGAATAAGCTGTAGGCTTATCTTATTACATGTTGAATAAGCTGTGAGTTTATTTCATTGCATTTTATTACATGTTGAATAAGCTGTGAGCTTATCTCATTACATGTTGAATAAGCTGTGAGCTTATCTCATAACATGTTGAATAATCTGTGAGCTTATTTCATTACATGTTGAATAAGCTGTGAGCTTATCCCATTACATGTTGAATAAGCTGTGAGCCTATTTTATTACATGTTGAATAAGCTGTGAACTTATTTCATTACATGTTGAATAAGTTGCGAGCTCATTTTATTACATGTTGAATATGCTGTGAGCTTATCCAGAATTATACGTGGATAAGCTTATATGTGGACAAGCTTATCCATAATTATATGTGAAACAGCTTATTTATAATTACATATGGATAAGCTTATCCAGAGGTTATTTATATGCATGCCTGTGTCGCAGGATAAAGTCTATTTGCTTTATCTGACGCAGACAGGTTGTACCTGCCGAGCAATGCGAATGTGATGAATAGTTAGTCTAAACAAAAAACTTCACATGCGTGATTGTCGAAATAAGGCAAAATTCTGATAATTGTGTTACAACCATATCATTGAGGTAGTGTTAATTTTCTAATAACGACGACGACAATTCAAAGAATTCAATTCAAAAAAATTATTCGATCATTATTATTACTATTTTTTTTTAAAAAAAAATGTTCAATGGCATCCGAGACTTATATTTCATTAATTTATATTTATTAATTTGTATTGTCACCGCATACCCGTCTGCCACGGAAATCTGTGACAACGGTGGTAAGTGCTATCCTATATTATTCAAAGCGACCGAAGAGTTTGAAGAAATATTTGAAGGATAAGAAATACCTTGAGGTATGACAATATCTCCTCTCGTATATCATATTTTTCATATATATTATATGATTATTTTATTTATTCCGTTTGATTATTTATATCTATCATATTCACGTATTCATATGTATTGTTATTAGGTCTTCATATTAGAATTGAATCTCGATGATCAAGATCATCATCGGAAGTTCTTTTTGAAAATGAAGGGGATGATGAAATATTTCTAAAGTTAATACTATGCATCAACAAGAATCATTTAATAATAATGATGAGAATGTGGATAGATATAGCAATTGAAAGAAGTACAAGAATTATAATTATTCTTTTACTAATTATACAAAAGAAACCACTGCCACCACCACCACAACGACATAAAGTATTTCACATTCGGATCATTCATTTTTTTATTATTATATTTTTCAATTAATCCAATCAATCATCATCACCATCATCATTATCAAAACAAAAGCATCATTAACAAAGGTATTATCGGTATTAGATGGATTAGAAGAATTAGTTCATGAACTTGATTTTGACACAAAACCATCTAAAGGGGAAGGATTGAATCTATAATTTCACTTTTAAATTATGATTCAAATGAAATCAAGAAGAAAGCTGTTTTGGTTATTGGTGCAGCGATGAGGTAATGATTTTTAGTTTTTTATTTTTGTATATTATTATTATTATTATTATTAATTTATATATTCATATTTCTTGTAATTAAATTTATTATTTTATTTTATTTTTTGTTTTATTCTTATTTTTTTTTTGTTTATTTTATTTTTAATTTATTTATTTTATTTTATTTTTATTTATCTTTATAATCATATTTATTTATAGAATAATCCATTGTCTCAAAGTTATGCATTAAGAATAAATCTCATTCCTCGTCTTTTAAATTCTCTCATCCGAAGAAGGAAATGATATCAAAGTTTTATCACGTCTTTTATATGCCTTATCAATATCGTTCGTGAAAATAAGGTAACGATGATGATGAACTAACTCTATTAATAATTTTATATGAAAATTTAAAGGATAATGAATTTCGAGTAAATGTACATTATTTATTCGGTCTAAATATGGTGGCTGAAGCGGTGGAGGCAGAAGACGTGTTTCATCAACAACAACAGTAATAACAAGGGCATGATTATTTTCATTCGGATGTAATAGGATCTGTGGTATGAATTATTTAACATATTGATAATGATGATATTGTTAGTAAAAAAATCATCACAAGAATTAGATTTTGATACGAAAAAAAAAATATTTAGAGGAATATCCATTATAAGTAAACATTACATAATGGTATTTTTTTTTTTTGAAGACTTTAGATTACTGGTGGTGATTGTCACCACTGAATTGAGATAAACTGAAAATTAACGCCCATGACCATGAACCCTCATTTAGTTAATTTGTTAAATTTAAAATTATGATCAGCATTTAACTTTTGCATATCATTCTAATAAAGAATGTTCAGTGTAACCATTCTGCGAAGAAATTCTTAATCATTCGAAGAAGTAACTAATTAGTACCAATTAGGCTATTTTTAGTACTACCAATTTAGTATGCATGATATGAACTTATATAATTCATGAATAATGGCATCGTTGCAATGAACCTATTTTAAACATATTGTAACTTATATAAATTCTGAAGAGAGTTTTCAGATTCGGAATATTCTAGATGAATATAAAATTCTGTTGTTGAACCGTATAATGAAATTTAAATTGTGAATATTCAACAACAGAAATTGAATATATTTATTGCAAATAACAAAAATTTATTCTTTGACATTTTAAATTTTCTCTTAAAACCTTTTTAATATAACCCATCAATTTTAAAAATATATATTCCCCATTTCAAACTTTAAATAAAAAATATAGAACTTTTAAATTCAATAAATTTTATTAGAACTTTAATCTATTAAACAAATAATCACGTAAATGGAAAATGTATATCCGTATATATTTCGTCAATACTTGAAATTAGCCGAAGATGGAAATGGTGATGCACAGAATATTCTTGGATATCACTATTCTAATGGAATTGGAACAACAAAAGATAAAGAGAAAGCATTTCAATGGTACCTGAAATCAGCTGAAGGTGGAAATAGTAATGGGTCGAATAATCTTGGATATTGTTATTATCATGGAATTGGAGTCAAAAAAGATGAGGAGAAAGCAATTCAATGGTATCTTAAGTCAGCTGAAGATGGCAATATCACTGCGCAATTTAATCTTGGAGAGTGTTACACAAATGGAACAACGAAAGATGAAGAGAAAGCATTTCATTACTACTTAAAATCAGCTGAAGGTGGAAATAGTAATGGACAGAATAACCTTGGTCATATATATGAAAATGGAATTGGAACAACTAAAGATGAAGAGAAAGCATTTCAGTGGTACCTGAAATCAGCTGAAGGGGGAAATATCAATGGACAATTTAATCTTGCACGTTGTTATCAAAATGGGATTGGAACACCGAAAGATGAAAGGAAAGCATTTCAGTGGTACTTGAAATCAGCTGAAGGAGGAAATAGTGATGGACAGTGTAATCTTGCATTTAGTTATCAACATGGGTTTGGAACCACAAAAGATGAAGAGAAAGCATTTCAATGGTACCTGAAATCCGCTGAAGGTGGAGCTATTCAGGGGCAGTATAATCTTGGATATTGCTATTATCATGGAACTGGAGTCACAAAAGATGAGGAGAAAGCATTTCAGTGGTACCTGAAAATAGCTGAAAGTGGGGATAGTAAAGGACAGAATAGTCTTGGTTATTGTTACCAATATGGGAAAGGAATAACAAAAGATGAAGAGAAAGCATTTCAGTGGTACTTGAGATCAGCTGAAAGTGGAAATGGTTATGGACAGAATAATCTTGGATATTGTTATTGTAATGGAATTGGAACCACAAAAGATGAAGAGAAAGCATTTCAGTGGTGCCTGAAATCAGCTGAAGGCGGGAATAGTAAAGGACAAAATGGTCTAGGATACTTTTATGAAAAAGGGATTGGAACAACAAATGATGAAAAGAAAGCATTTCAGTGGTACATGAAATCAGCTGAAGGAGGAAATAGTGAGGGACAGAATAATCTTGGTTATTGTTATCAACATGGGAAGGGAATAGTTAAAGATGAAGAGAAAGCATTTCAATGGTACCTGAAATCGGCTGAAGATGGAAATGGTTATGGACAGAATAATCTTGGATATTGCTATTGTAATGGAATTGGAACCACAAAAGATGAAGGGAAAGCATTTCAATGGTGCCTGAAATCAGCTGAAGGTGGGAATAGTAAAGGACAGAATAGTCTTGGATTTTTTTATGAAAAAGGAATTGGAACAACAAATGATGAAAAGAAAGCATTTCAGTGGTACCAGAAATCAGCCGAAGGAGGAAATAGTGAGAATAATCTTGATTATTGTAATCATAATGAAATTGGAACAACAAAAGATGAAGAGAAAGCCTTTCAGTAGTACCCGAAATCAGATGATGGAGGAAATAATTATGTACGGACTTCACTTGAAAATTATTATAAAATTAAAAAAAAAAAAAACAAAAAATGAGGAGAAAGTATTTCGGTGGTATATAAAAGTCAGCTGAAGAGGAAATAGTGGTAGACAGTATAGTCTTGCGAATTGTTATTTCTATGAGATCGGTACTATCAAAGATTAAAAGAAAGTATTACGTTGGTACTTGAAATCATCTTAGAAGGAAATAAAGTTGAATAATGCATGATTAAATATACAGTATAGTATATATCTTTATTTGAATTATCATTATCCAATACTTTTTTTACATTAATTATTATAATAAAATTTTTCTTAAAATTCGTAAAAATAAATGCCACACACACGTAATTACTATTTTGAAAGATCTAAAATATCATTCGTTGCTCACTTTAAATTTTTTAAAATACTGTTTAGAGTTATATAAATTTTTAGTATTTTACATATTTGCGATTTATATTTTTTTTATATTTGTTTTATTCATTTTCTAATATTTATTTAATTTTATTTTATCCATTTAATATTTTCAATACTTTAAATTATTCCAGATTGTCGCAGACATGACTTTTACAAGGAAATCATCATTTAATCCTATAAAAGACATCTTCATCGATAAAGGTGATGACGAATACATTCTGAATATAATAATTTGCATATTAATGTTTTTATTAACTTTATTTGGCTGATCAAACCGAAAAACATTATCTTCATAAATTGTTTTTTGTTTGACAAGACAATATAATATATAATTTTCATCTTTGTGTATTTTTTAAATGGCTCAAAATTTTTACAATTATTTTGGGCGTTATTTGAGTCAACATTTATAATTATATATATCATTAATAAATATAAATAGCTTACAACAACTATCCCATAGCCCTAATTAGTCACTCATGATTTTTATTGACATTTTCACCAGACAAAATTTTTATTTGCTAAAAATAAATTTACAATCTCATATTTTATACAGTCAAATTATAAAAAGTATTTCAAACGTGCATCTAAGCTTTCTGCTTATTTTACGCCACTTGGACAGTAATCACATCACATCATAGCAATTGGACCATATGTTATCTAATAATAAATATAATACTCAATAAGAAAATCTATTTCATTCTAAACAAGGGAATTATATTAAGGGCTATAGTGGAAAGTTAAAAATTTTTTTTATTACTATTGATATTATTGTATTTTATTTTATTTTTTTTGCAATAAGATCTTCTGTTCATTTTTATGTAAGATATGTGGTCAGTTTTGTCGACAATTAAAGTCACTACAATTTTGTAGTTTAAAAGTATACAAGTAAGGCTCACAGAAATTATTTCTTTAGCTAAATTTATTAAGTACAACAAGTTCAATAACCAATTAAGGAAAAAGTTGATACGATAATACCAACAATTATGAAATAGTTAATGAGAAATAACAATGTTAGGGAATGAAAAATAATAATAATAATTACATCTCATCAATCTCTACAATTGAATATATTATAAATATAATAGATGAAATCTGTTTGTACATAATAATAATTAATTGCATCATCATTAATCACAATTGTATGATCCACATGCATGTGAAAAATCAAAATCATAAGAAGGTCAGGCGAATGTGAATAGAATATATATTTAGTTATGACTCACAATCACCAATATTTTTTTTTATTATATATTTTGTTTTATTTTAGAATATGAAATATAATTGAGCGCCAATATTTAATTTAATTGAATCAACTCAAAAATTTCACACAAGCAGGTGAGAATTAACTTATGACTCATATTGAGACTGCATATATAGATTTTTTTTTAATTAAAATATTATATTTTACATTTAATATACATTATCACAAATATCAATTGTTCTATATCAATAGTTAGTTCTATAATATTTTAACTACAAATGATTAGCATTTAATTTACTTCTCTTCAATAGTTCATATCGTATTCACGATATTCGTGATTAAATTTTTATTATATTAATGTATTAATAAACTTAATTTTATCAAACCTTTTTATATTACAATAAGATTTATTATTATGTCTATTTTTATTTTTTTATGAGATGCATATCATTACTAGTCTAAAAATATAAATATACCACAGAAACAAAAGCAATTATTTCTTTAGCTAAATCCATTATATCAAGAAAATATTAAGTCTTTAACCAAATTAAGCACGTTGAACGAGTAGGGTAATCAATATTGTCATTGGAACAATTAAGTTAACAATTGATATTGTATCCTTATTATCATATCAATTGATGACTCACAAATGAAAGATGATAATCTGCTTGTGAATTTTGATTGTACAGTCTCAAAAAGGTTAGAATTATATGCATTCTAATAATTACATTATATCAATAGCACTATCAAAGTTCGCAAGCAGGTGAGAACAAACTGCACTGCTGATAATAATTACATCACAAAATCATTAATATATGAAAAAAATCATTTAATTTATACATTTTTATTTTGATTGTTGTAGATGAAAAATTTTTAAATTACAGAAATAAATTATTGGAATTTTGAAAAGTATAAATATGGGGACTTTTCCCTTCAGTCAAAATCACAAAAAAATGAAAAACCAGACAAAACCCCAAACTCAAGAAAAAAATCTTCAGAATCAAGAAATTGATCCAAACGATCCATTTGGAATTGGACTAGTTCCATACCATCCCGATTTAATTACTTTCGAGTATACTGGTGATGAAAATCTTCTTTTAGATTTTGTTGAGCCAGTATACTCTAAAAAATATGTTACAAAATGTTGTTTCTTCAACATTGAAAATCCAGATGATGATGATGATAATGATTCATTTTTCGAATTTCTTACGGATGAGGAGGATGAGGATTTGGATTACCAGTGCTATAACTGTAAAAGAGCGAAGTACGAAGAAAAGAAAAGGAGACGAAGAGGTAATTATATAACTTCTACTTTTTTAATTAAATTTAATATTGTTCCGTTCAAACTTAAAAATTTCATTTTTCTTTTTTATAGAAAATGTTAAAAGAAAAAGAAGAAATTAATTTTTTTAATTGAATAAATTTTTATTATTACAATCATTTTTATTATTATCATTTTAATATTACTCTCACACACACTCTCTCTTCTCTACTCTCTCTCTCTCATCTCTCTTCCGCTCTCTGTCTCCCTCTCCCCTCCTCTACTTTCTCTCTCTCTCTTCTCCTCTACTTTCTCTCTCATCTCATTCTCTCATCTCTCTCATCTCTCTCATCACGCTCTCTTATCTCTCTCATCTCGCTCATCTCGCTCTCTCATCTCTTCATATCTCTCTCTCTCATTCTCTATCCTTTATATCTCTCTATCATCTCTATCATCTCTCATCTCGCTCTCTTCTCATCTCTCTCTTCATCTCTCTCTTATCTCTCTTTCCTCTCCTTCTATGCAACTCTCTCTCCTTCCCTCTCTTATCTCTTTTCTCTTTCTTATTATATTTTTTTTTTAAATTTACTATTACATTATTATCCCATTTTTTATATTAATGAATTTAAATGTTAATGAAAAACTTTTGTATTTAGTGTCAAGTGCTCTGATTTAATGAATACATCAACTTGATTTTTATTTTCTACTTGAGTTAGGACTTATTAAAATCATAAATGAAAAGATTATTTCGAAGAATACAAAAAAATAATTAATAGCAAAGATATTATACTAATAAATAATTAGAATCAATAGAATAGATTATATTAGATAACCTAACACAATAAAAAAAAGATTCTCTCTTTTCTTTTCAACAACTTTTCTGCTAAAAATTGAGTCCTAACTATGAGAATGAAAACTTTGTAAAGAAATAGGTATGTTATTTTTTTTTACATTCATTCTTCTTTAATAAAAAAATGGGTCGAGATAACCTTCATTAAAAAAAAATAATAACCTTTATTTATAAGAATATAAAATATTAATATTCTAAAGTATCTTTATTTCTGTTATTTTAGGTTCAACAAAAATCGTTGATTTTAACAAAATACAATATATTTGCAACCACATATGGTTTTATAATTTTCAAACTTCTATATAACAAAGAATTTAGAACACTTCACTTTTCACTATCCTTATGAAACGCGCGTAATAGCGAAAGGTGTATCTTTTAATAATTTGCAAGAGAGTTTTCAAAAACATACATATCATACTCAAAGATTAATCTGCATTTATGTGAATAATAAGGTATTGGTGATAATTTATTACTAATATTTTTTTTTTACTTTAGAAATATTAGTTATTTGAAGGCATTCAGTGCATTATTCAAAGCGTGGGTTTCTTAGTCTATTCATATCAAGTTTTTTTTTAAAAAAAAAAGGTATAGATATTCGCAAGGAATATTTTGTCAACAATTTATATAAGAGCATTAATATAAATTTTCGTGCAAATTTTTATTATGGCAGATATGTATGGAATGGATAGAATTTAAAAGTTCAATAAAAAAAAAGGACTACGTTAGTGCGACCTGAAATTATATCGTGATATGCAATAACTTATCGAGCATAATGCTTCAAATTGTTGCAAAAGCGTCAATGCTATAATGGATTTTGAGGAAGTTGAGATCTTCAATCATCATGGGAAATTTGATACCATTTTAAAAAATGCGAAAAATTAAAAAAAAATATGATGCGAAATTTTAGAGCACGAAATTCTATCTACTTTCTTGTTTTAAATTCAATGATCCTTCATGTGGAATGAAAGAAGCTTCACTAGAAAAAGGATGATATTGAAGTGTAAGCGTTGGAAGAACATCGTAGGACCTTAAGAGACATAAAATTATATATATATAAAGAGAGAAATATTTTTAAAAATAAATTATATTCCACGCGATTAATAAAATGGAAACAGAAATAATTGTCAAGCCATATATTGGAAATGATGGAAAGTATTTATTTCTCGTGAATATTATGTTGTGTTTGTTTAATAGCTCGAATTGATAATTTTAAATTTTATTTTATTTTTTTTTATCTTAACTCAATTACTTCACAAACTTCCAATTAATTATAAATTAGAGTGAAGTAATTAGTAACATCATAGAATGATTTTCAAATATAGTCTTATTTAATTTACTGGTTTTGCAATATTCCTATTAATTTTAAACAACATCTAGAAGTGGATAAATGATCTTTATCAATCATTCTTCATCGGGAGCAATTGTCTTTATTATTTTTTAAGACACAAATTATCGTACAAGTATTTTTAATTATGCTCATATAAAGATTGTATAAAAGAATAAAGAAAGGAGAATAACTGAAGGAAATGAGCTCTCTCTCTCTCTCTCTCTCTGCAAACTTATTATCTAAAGAAAGGGCAAGATAGCAATTCTTCGGGAAGTGGGGGAGATTCCCCGAGAGTAAGTGAAAAATATTAAAAAATAGACTTTTATTTTTTTAATTATTAAAAATAGAAACTATTTTAAAATATAGTGTAGTAAAGTAAATTGGTAATATGCGGATGGTAAATTGTAACACTTGTACAAGGGTGATAATGCACAAGGATGAAGGATGATGTACAAAGGATGAAGGATGAAGTACAAAGGATGACAGGTGAAATTTGAATGAAGTCCATTAAAGACAGGAAACAGTAGTCTTAGTAGTTTCTAGGGTTCTGCAAATCCAAATTGATCTGCAGATTGAATCCGGATCAAATTGGATCAGTTCATACTGTTATAGATCCAGATCCAGATCGAATTCAAAAAAATGAAATCCGATATGGATTCGGATCAATTAAAATATGAAAAGGAATTTCAGTAGTTCTTGAAATTAGCTGAAGGCGGAAATAGTAATGGACAGAATAATCTTGGGTGCTGCTATCAAAATGGGATTGGAACTATAAAAGATGAAAAGAAGGCATTTCATTGGTACTTGAAGTCAGCAAAAGATGGAAATATTCTTGGACAGAATAATCTTGGATATTGTTATCATCATGGAATTGGAATTACAAAAGATGAAGAGAAAGAATTTCAGTGGTTCTTAATATCAGCAAAATGGGGAAATAGTAATGGACAATATAATCTTGGACATTATTGTCAAGATGAAAGAAAGCATTTCAGTAGTTCTTTGAATTTTCTGAAGGCAGAATATTAATGGACAGAATAATCTTGGAAACTGTTATAGAAATGGCATTGGAACCACTAAAGATGAAAAGAAAGCATTTCAGTGGTATTTGAAATCAGCTGAAGGAGGAAATATTCCTGGGCAGAATAATCTTGGATATTGTTATCGAAATGAAATTGGAATATCAAAAATTAAGAAAAATGAAAATAATTTAATGTAAGATGCCCAACATGGAAAGAAATACCTCTGGAGCTACCATTAAAGCAAACATTAAAAAAATAAATCAAATCAGAAATAGGCAAAGATGGAAATTGCAAAAAAGATTTCAAAGAATTTTAGATAATGAAAAAACACAAAAAATTAATTGGACAACCACATTTAAATCATTGCACTCCAGTAAAATAACAGATTATAATACAAGTAAAGAAGACCAGGTTAAAAAAAGCTTTGCAATGAAACTCTTCAATAGAGAATTACCAGTAATGCTCCAAAGATTTAAGCACCAACCTCACATATATAATAATCCAAAATGTATACTATATGGAAGATATAAGGAAACTGATATACAATTCCTTCTATACATAAACTCTTTTATCATGACTATTTTATTTTGAGATTAGTAATTCTTATAGTTATACTTAGTTTTGTTATTAGTTTTAGTATTATTTTATCCTGTTGTCTTTGTAAATTATAGAAGGTTTATATAGATAACATTATGATAATGTTTTTAGAAAGACATAATAATTTCAGCATCTATTGGCTACATTCTTGAAGTTGTATTTGGAGGTAAAAAATGAACATCAACATGTAAAAGATCTAAACCTTCAATTTTATGACTTCTACAATTATCCAATAATAATAAAACACATTGTCCATTATGTTTTATTACAACTTTTTGATCAAAATTACAAAGCCACTCTTGAAATAAAGTGGCAAGCATCCAAGCTTTAGAATTATATCAATAAGTTATTGATAAATATTGAACATTAAATGTTTTAAAACATCTGGGATTTGCATATTTTTCAATAATTAATGGTGGTAATTTGTGTGATCCATCTGCATTTGCACATTGTTGACCCTGTTTCTTTATTTTATATATATACACTCACTGGTAAAAAGTATAGAGATACCTGACAATTTTTAAAAATAAATCATTTTAGTTATTCTATATAAAACTTTTATTATTATTAATTAAATCGTATTTT